GGCCCAGAAGCGATACAGGTCTGAGCGTTACCATTGCACGTACTTGTGACAAAATCACATTCTTCGCCTGTATCGATACAAATCGGGCCTTTAGTATTCGGTGAAACATCTCCCAAGTTGGTGGAAGCAAAAGCTCCAACAAATTGACCCTAAAATTTTTTTACACTAAATTCATTAGCTACGAAACTATGAATTACTTTTCCTGGAAGAGTTTCATTATTGACGTAACTTTCTAACTGAATTGAAGCGTATCCCACATTATCAGAAGTCACCAAACAGTTAGTATTGTTCATAGAGGTTGGATGTACGGCAAACCAGTTTATTGCACCAATTGGTTCATTGTCGGAGGAACGAATGAATTTTATTTGAACCATTTCTTTATCAACATTGTGCTCATATCTAAAGACAGCAAAATATTTATTATAATTATAAAAATGATTTCTTTTTTGTTACTTTGCTCTCTCTTCTTCAGGATTATACAAATAGGATGCAGGACTCCGGTTAATATTAGCTTCAAGCAAAATTCCGGAATTTACATAAATCTTACCTTTAACCATGTTTTCATGTGCATTTATTATAGACTAAAGAAAATAGCTAGTGAAACAAACACAAATATTATCTCAAATGCCGTTTTACTTGCGTTATTCCTTCAACAAGAGTATCAAAACTTTCTTGAACGAAACCCAAGTTTGGAATATCAAACATAAGATCCATTAACCAGCCTCCTGGAGTAGAATGAGTGTGAGTACCACTTATTATCAAATTTTGTTCAGTGTAAGTGTCGTTATAAAGACCAGCCAAGTTTTTCAAAACCTATAAAATAACAATCAAAATTTGGATAAATCCTTAAAAATTAAAAAATTAATTACTTGTCTTCTGACTCCATGTGCCATCGATTGGGAATCAACAGTGACAAAAGCGACCCTACTTAAACCATCGTCAATGATGAAAGCTCGAGAGAATTGTCTCAAATGAAGACCACACCCTACTTGACTTAATTTAGCATAACCCATCTAAAATTTTCTTATAAAAAAAAAAAACAAAAATAATCTACAAAGGGCTTACAAAAATTATTTCGGCTGGTGGTCCTGTACAATCGGCCCTTCCAATTCCAATCTGGTATTCGCTCTGAACTAAACCATTTTTCAAAAAAAATACAAAAACCAAAATTGATCGTAGATTGACTTGCATTTTGAGTAATTGCTCCAAATTTGAGGAGAATCTTATTTATAAATAATGTTCAAATCCGTAGATACATAAATACTCGTAGATAACAATAGATTTAGTCTATTTATGTAACTGGATTAAGATAGAATGTAAGTTTGTTTACAAAGTTTCTAAAGATTATAAGTTTTTTTAAGTATCATAAACTTTTGATTGATTGAATTGAATGACTGTTTTTTCTTGTATTATTGTGTATTGCATGCTCTTATACTATATTAATCTTTTGAATAGCTTGAATAGCTTTATCAAAAGTTCCAAAATTTAGCTAATCCAATTTCCTGCTTCAACTTATCCTGTTGATGCGAAACTCCAAACATCAATAACCATTTTTTGTATATCAAGTTGCCTACCGCCATTTCATGCCCACAGCCGCCATCTTGTACACAAACGTTTTATACCCGAGAGCGTCATCTGCCCTCACTGTTCTCAAGTTTATCCTCCCTTCACTAGATGCCTCACCTATCGTTTTTTAGTCTCCTCCCATTCTAGAACAACACCAGATGGCCACACCTCCACAATAACATAAACAATCGGTATTTCGGAACACATGTTTTAGTGGAGAGAATAAGTAATGACACATGCAGATATAAATCGTTATTTCTTCTTGTCGGTCAGTTGCGTTCTGCCGGCAAAAAGTGAGTGATCGTGTTTGAACAAGAAGTGATGGTTTTTGATTGATTATTGACTCTGTGAGTATAGAAAGGGGGTGGCGCTTGGGGGGTTGGGGTGAAAAGTAGGTAGGTTCAGATGACATGTGTAGTTTGCTCTTAATTGGACCAAATGTTTTGATTGGGGTAATCGAAGATTACCAATTGCCGGAGTGATCTATTTTTAGACGCATTACAATTTCTCTCAATTTATTTCTGTTTAGTTTGAGTTGGACGGAATCTGGCGGTTAATAGCTTTATTTTTAATTGATAACGCAGCTTCTGAGTATGTCATACAAGCGAAATGAGTGCAATATGTGTACGTGATGAGGACTTCCTTCTAGACTGATAGCAGAGTGTTATCGCAGGCTTCATATGGTTTAATAATTATTCCAAATTGCTAAAGAACTAATTTTTCGTTTTAAAAAGTCATAAAATCATTTATAGTTTTGTATTTGTTAAGGTGAAATAAAATTTGCTTTGTTTTGTTATTACTCTTTATCTTTTTTATTACAAAATGTAGGCTAAGTTTTACGAATCAATTTTGTTTACTTCGATGATAAATATTTATTTTTTAATTCATACACATCAAAATTTACATTTTTCTCAAATTGAAAAATTTCTTTAATTTGTGTCAAAAACTGGCTCATTGATTGTACTAGTTTACAAATAACTTGTTTAATATACCTTTAATAAAATTATTATTTTTACGTTTATTTACTTTTAATTAAACAAAAATAATTGTTAATTTTTCTTATCACTTTACAGTTTTTTTACATGACGTGGTGGACTTTTTAAATATTTTTTTAAACTCTATATGAAATTATAACTTTCAGCTAAGGTTATAGTTTATAAAAATCGTGTAGATTAGTGTTATTTATGTTATTTTTGACGTCTGAGTTTAATACTCTCACATTTAATTTAACGTTTATTTCTGTTCCACTGTAAATTGAAATTGATTTCAAAACTGTTTTTGTTACTTGGATTACCGTGAAAGTAAAAATAATTGTAATTATTGCCATGTCATTGCCAAAAATCAATAGAAAGCGATTTTGGTGTAAAATTTGTCTAAAAATTGTTTTCACGAGACGTAACGAAATTGCAATAAAATATTTATGCATTTTTTATGTTTTTTTTTTTTTAATATGATTGCATTAAATTAAAGGCCAAGACTTAGAATGTACTTACAGTTTTGTACAAGGTGTTTAATTAAATAAAAAAGTCGTTAAGCTAAGTCGTTTTCAAAGCAAAAGCATACATACATACTGCGATTTTCAAGTCAAGCTTGCATTACTGAAATTATTCTAATTGTTGTTAAAATTTATAAATTACTAAATATTTTTGGAATATAATTATGTATTTTTTAAGTTAGTTATTTTATAATATTCTATCTTTTTTATGTACTTATTTATTATTTATTACTTTCTTTTTTACAATGTTGTGACACTGTGCTATTTTAACGTTTGACATTATTTCAAATTCTTTGGAGAGATGCAATTAGGTAATCGCCACCCAATAAGCTCTTTATTCCTACCGACAAAATTACACACACATTACATCACGACGTCATGTTTAATATTTTTTTAATCTTACATTACACATCAAGGTAAACATAATTTTACTCAATCCTTTCTTTGAAGATTCCCTCAGGTGGCTTCAACAACCCTACCAGAAACATGACATTATTTTTGACCCTCTGTACGACGCCAATTTTTTCTAATTTCAAAAACACAAACTCTAAAACAAGAGCAACCAGACCAAGTGCATATCCTCCCAATAAAACTCCAAAGCTTTCTTTAAAATGTGCCAATTTTAAAATTACCAATTTCTGTTCTTCTTTTGGAAGAATCTCGATTCGAATATTACTCCTCTGGATTTCTCTAAACCACTTAACTACAAAACCTCTCTCTACTATTTCTTGTACCCAGAAACATAAAGCTTCATTAAAGAGAGTTTTTTTGTTGATGTGAAAAGCCACCAAAAATGTAAGAAAATCAGTACCAATTCTTAAAGGAAAAAGGAGGGATTTTTCCAAAGGGTGCGATTCTAGAATAGAGCTGAAAATAAGGGATCCGTTTTGTTTTGTCAAAGCTGTGCGATTCATGAGATAAGTTTGGGTGTGATTCGTGATATAAAGACGTGTTTTGGCGGCTTTTTGGTGAGCTGTTACGTAAAGTAGGAGAAAAAGTCGTTCACAACGCCAGTCGGCAAAAACAATAACTTTGACAGCAGCTGCAGCTGCTATTGTATTCAATTTAACATCGTAGGAGCTTTGGGTGAAGATATTACTTAAATTTCCGAGATAAATCTAGTCTATACTAATACAAAAAAGAAAGAAAAAAGACACCAAAATGCGAAAAGACAGCCATTGGGGGAGCTGCGAGACACCACCCCCAATACAAATCTTTAAAACATCAAACATAGAATTAACGAAAGTCGCATTTTCGGAATCTTCACACAGGGCGAAGATGTAGAATACGAAAATCGTGACTGTAATACCGGCGAAGATTTTCTCCCAAAGTTCTAAATTAAATACGACAAAAAGTTTTCTATAAGATTTCAATCTTTTAGGTTTGGGGACTACTAGAAAAAGGTATTCACTATAAATGACAGACCCGTAGTCAAAAGGGTTGGTTTTGGCGTCGTTTAAACCCAACTGGCCAATAGCAACATCGATGATATTTTTTTCCAAGTCATTTGAAATTTTACGGATGGAACCGTTATTCAAAAATTCGTTTTGGTATCCAGATGGTTCCTTATATTATAGTTTAAAACCACTCACGTATGATATTAAATTAACTAAAGAAGCCATCGTTCCAGGTCTTTGTGGGTGAGTTATATTGATGACATACGGTGGTGTTTCGATATAACCCACTTTGAGGCGACAATTTTTTTCAAATAGTTTTTTCTCTTTAAAAATATCAGAAGGGTAGAAGCAGTTCTCCGATTTGATTAGACTTAAAGCAGTACACGATTTAGTGTTGAAAGGATACAAAATCTCATCCTCATGTACTACTAGAAATTTTCTAATTCGATTTTCCATTACTAGTTGTAAAACTTTAGACGTATTTTCAGTAACAAATATGTATTTTCCTTTAGAATCAAAATTTTGGTTAGTTGTGAAATAATCTCCATATAATAAAAAAATTTTAGTTTCAAAATTTTCAAAATTGTAAATATCTACAACGGTCACGGGTATTTGAGGCACATAAATTATATCTGTAAAATTATCAGCAGCCACAACCAAATTTGTTTCAACTAAAAAATCTTTTTGCATTATTGTTTTAAGACAAATGTTATTTTTTTCTAATGTTAAGAAAGACAAAATTGGGGTCAGAATTGCGTACATTGTTTCAAGACGTTTTGGAAAGAAATAAAAAGAAAGTAATATGACTTCTGAGATGATTTATTGTGTCCTAATGTCGTTATAAGCGCATTTTAAGTGTTTCTCTTGAGGCGTGTAATGGATTAAAGCTGAGATTAAGTCATTACCTGGGATAATTTGAGATCATTTTATTGAATTATTTCTGCTTTTTTTATATTTACATTGCTACCATTTTCTAATATTTTACTATAGAAGATTTTAGATTAAAAAGTCTGCATTATTACAATTTAAACAAGACTTAGGATTAACTCTGTTTTTATCAATTACTATTAAAAATTGTTAGAAAATTTTACAACAGTTTTCAAATGTTTTACATGATAGTTATTGTGTTTTAAGGTTGGAAAGGATAACTTTTTGGACTATTTAATTTGATTTTTTACGATTTGAAAAAACTCTAGTATTTTGAATGTTTTTTATTACTTTTTATACTTTTACTACTTTTTCAATATACAGATTTCAAGTTTTTTTGGAATATGTATTTAAAATATCTGTTTGAAAAGCAATCTAAAGCTACTGGTAAATGATTTTTAATTCTGTTACACACAAAAAAATATGTTTTTCCAAATTACATAATCCTTTCTTTGAAAACTCTCTCCGGTGGCTTCAAGAGCCTCAACAGAAACATAACATTATCTTTGACTTTCTGTACAAATCCGATCTTTTCCAATTTCAAAAACACAAACTCTAAAATAAAGGCTATCAAACCAAGAGCGTATCCTCCCAGTAAAACCCTGAAACTTTCTTCAAAATGTGCCAATTTCAAAACCACAATTTTTTTCTCTTCTTCTGGAAGAATCTCCGGTCGGACGTTACTCCTCCGAATATCATTGAACCACTTAACCAGAAAGCCTCTTTCTACGATTTCTTGTCCCCAAAACGCCAACGCTTCCCCAAAATGAATCTTCTTGTTCATATAGAACGCCACCAAAAAGGTGAGATAATCAGTAGTGAGCCTAAAATGGAAAAGAAGCGACTCTTCTGAAGGGAACGCTTCGAGGACACTCTTGAAAAGAAAAGTACCGTTTTGTTTTGTCAAAGCTGTGTGGTTCATAAGATAAGTTTGAGAGTGATTTGTGATAAAAAGGCGTTTTTTGGCGGCTGCTTTGTAACGTGAAGTTACGTAAACGAGAAGTAAATGTCTTTCAACACGCCAGTCAACGTAAAGCACGATTTTGACAGCACCTGCTGTTTCAAAGTTATTAACCTTGACGTCGTAGGAGTTTTGGGCGAAGATATTACTTAAATTTCCGAGATAAATCGAGTCCAAACTCAGGCAAAAAAGAAGAAAAAAAGACACTAAAATGCGAAAAGACAGCCATTGGGGGATTTGGGAGACACCACCACCAGTACAAATCATGAACACATCAAACATTGAATTGATGAAACTTGCATTTTCGAAATCTTCACATAGAGCAAAAATGTAGAAGACGAGTATCATGACGCCAATTCCAATGAAAATCTTTTTCCACAATTCTAGATTAAATACAACGAAAAGCTTTCGATAAGATTTCAGTTTTTTGGGTTTTGGGGCTACTAAATGGAGACAGTCACTATAAATGACAGGTCCGTAGTCAAAAGGGTTGGTTTTGGTGTCGTTTAAAGCCAATTGACCAATAGCAACATCGATGATACTTTTGTCTAAGTCCCTTGAAATTTTATGAATGGTACCATTACTTAAAAGTTCGTATTGGTACCGATTTGAGTTTTGGTATTCCAATTTGAAACCACTTAATTCCGATATTAAATTCATCAAAGAAACCATTACTCCAGGTCGTTGGGGATGTGATACATTGATAACATACGGAGGTGTTTTGATATAACCCACTTTGAGACGACAATTTTTATCAAAAAATTTCTTCTTCTTAAAAATGTCATGGGGGTAGTGACAATTTCTAGATTTCACTAACTGTAGTGTCGTACAAGATTTTGTGTTATAAGGATACAAAATTTGTCCTTTTTGAACCACCAGAAATTTTTTAAGTTGATTTTCTTCTACTAGTTTTAAAACTTTGGATTGATTTTCGGACACAAACACATATTTTCCTTTCGGATTAAAATTTTGTCCAATTTCGAATTTATCTCCATACACTAAGAAATTTTTGATACCGAAATTGCGAAAAACGACTGGTATTTCTGGTACATAAATGTCAGCAAAATTATCAGAAAGCACAGTCAAAGTTGACGCATTTGAAAAATCATTTTCTATGATTTTTCTGAGACAAGTATTATTTTTTTGTAATGCTAGAACGGTCAGAATTGGGTTTAATATTGTGTACATTGTTTCATATGATCAGTGAAATTAACTATACATAATTTGATTGATTTCTTGGTTTGGTGTAAGCGCATTTTGAGTGCTTCTCCTGGGATTGGTAATGGATTAGGTTGTTACAAGGGATAATTTTGCAAAAAAATATAATTTATGCTTATGTTCATGTTTATAAAACATTAATAAATATGTATATATATTTTTGTTGTGTTTTATAATTTCACATTTTCTCTTTTTATCACTATTTTGTACTATTCGGTTTTTGTCTTTCTCTTCTTCTATTAGCAACATCACAACAAAAAGCTTTATTTTGAACTTTCTCTTTTTCTATTAACAAAATTTTACCACTTTATTGCTAAAATGTTATTAGTAAACAGTCATAAATAAAGGTTACTTGACAAGGAAATATAGCGATTATGTTTTAAGTTATTGCACGATTGTTTCAACAATACAAGGAAGTTAAGACGATTCAAATGACCTCTTTATCGAAGATATTACATGTTTGGAAATTATCCTCGATCTTTATGTAGTATATGGAGTTTGAAAGAGTGAACCTACAGATAAACTCTTTCTCTTAAAAAAAAAATATATTTGTAGAGAATGCAAGGTTCCCACACCTATTATGTCATTAAATCTGCATGTGAAAGTGTTCTTGAAGATTTTCACGGCTTCTTCCCGGATTCACGTTCACTTTTTCGCCGATTTGTTCCAATCAAAACGAATTAGGTCTTGTAATTATACTAGTATTTCTTCAACTGTGTTAACTTGTAGTTAATAATCAGAAAATAATAAAGTAAAACTAAATATACTGATAATCATCAACAAGTAACAAAGCCACCGTTTGCAACGAAATTAATTAAACCAAGCTTCGCTGATTCTACAATTAATTATCTTCCGATAAAATCGCATTAATTCACTAAAACTACAATTGGCCATTACCCTTTATTATGTTACGCTTCAATAAATTGTCGTGTCAAGTTCAATGTTAAATATCGTATTTCCATAAACAGCGGTGAAATTATTTAAATGTATAAACATGTCACTGTTCTTACCTCTGATGTAATTTATGCTTAAAATTTGCATAAAAGTGGGCATCCCTTGGGAAGATCTTTGTTGCTTGAGTAAGAGTAATTGTTTGCAAGTGTGCAATGGAAACCTTAGCGCAAATAACATTTAGATGGTATATTACATCATTTAGAATAATTTTTATGGCATTAAATAGAGTTGGTGAGACAATAAGATGAGGTTTTATGTAATCGGCAGTTGGTGATTCGGTACAAGGATTAGAAATTTGCCAGGGAAAAGTCTTAGGTTTACTTGAGGTAAAAAACAATTTTATTTGGTTTTTGAGGAGGCTGGCTAAGGTAATTATTGTGTTCAATGATTAAGTTGTTGCGAAATAAGCAGTTTCGTAAATGCCAAGTTGCTAGAATCAACATTAAATAAATTATACACCAGCAGCATCTTTCATTTAGCACTTCTTTAATCACACAAGAAGTGGTAAAAAATGAATTAAATGATTAATTACCTACATTTATTTACTATTTTGATTTAAAAAGGGTTGTAATATTGTCTGATTTTTATTATTTTTCATTTTACATTACATACGATCAGTAGATTATTATTTCAGAAAAGCGTAGTTGACTAGTCGTGATTATTGTGGTGATATTTTTTGTAAAGTATAGTTTCTTAATTTAAAATAATAGTTATTTATGTATTAAAGATATAATAAGGAAATTATGGCCCCGAGGGAATGTTTAAAGTTTAAAGCCCGGCGTTAGGAGGACTTTTAATGTTCTGTTTATGCAATGTTTTATTTTATTTTGAATTGTGTTTTGCTTTTCTTAAATTAGAATTTAATAGTTTCGGCGAATTTGGTATAAAATTCGAGATCGCATATTTTGCTGTTATTATGAATGCCAAACGTTACATAAAAAAATCCCAAGGGCTATGAAGGTCATTTTATGCCCGTTTTTTAGGACTTACAAACAAGTTTATAGTTCCAAAATAAAATAAAAAGAATTTAAAAAAATTACTATAAGATTGTAATATTTAATTTTAATCGTCTTTGTTTCATTTCTTTTTTCTCAATTCTTTCCTTGCAGATTTTCCATTTCTGCGTCTAATATTCTATTGAATAAGATATGAAAAAAGTGGCTCTTGTCTTGTGTTTTTAAATGAAATATCACACGATTTTGTCTTTTTTCAATTAAAAATAAATATAATTTTTCAAATTTTTATAATGTATGTATTGCTCATGGTCTTTCATTCATTTAAAAGAAAAAACTAGGGGTTGTCAATGTGCAAGTAAGAAAATACCGAACATTTTAATGTAGGCTTCTTTACTTAAAATTAAGAAAAATAAATTATGATTTAGCAGTGGTATAATTTGATTTAGCAGTGTGTAAACTTTTTGTTTTATTTATAAAATGACATTAATAAAGGTTCAAAATACGCGTTTGTGTACAATTTTTTATCAGTTTCTCCTTAGATCCTCTATTTTCAAGCATCCTTTGCTGCGAAGTATTTTATTCATTCCACTGCACTTTGATAAGATTCATAATTCTGCGACCTTGCGTAATCACATTCTGATGAGCACGTTCCGCCTCGAGCTAACAATCACTCTCTACGAGAGATAAACTTTGGCAAAACCTTACAAAACATCAAATTAATAATCATTAAACTTGCTAAAATCTCTTCTCTAGTTCTCTCACAAGGTTAATACCTCTATCTGATCAGTCAACACTTCACATTACAACGTAACAATCTTACATAAACACGACAAATCGCAATTTTATTAATGTTTATGCAATTTAACAGTCGTGATTTTGTTTATTTTCTTATAGGCGAACACAAAATGGCAAATTCTTTGTTGTTGCAAGCGGGTTTATTGATTTGCTCGATTTGTGCAGTTAGGAGTGAGGTTTTCACTGCACTTGCTGATTTAGAGGACCTTCTAGAAACCGAAGCTCTTTTAATTAACACACTTGAAAATTATATCAAAGCAGAAGAAGAAAAGTTGGGGTATTTGAGGAGGTTGGTAGGCATAAAAATGATCCAAACAAGCATTATTGGATTTTTTTCAGATATGCAGCAATTTACAAAAATCAGCACAATAAAGCTTCTGAAAACGTCCAGGTGTATGTTGCCAATCCCATTAATGCTTACACTCTTGTTAAAAGACTAACAGCAGATTGGCGAGAGGTCGAAAATTTGATCAACAGTGATTTGAGTTTAGGTAATTTTCGTGGGTATTTTTTTGGAGGAAAATAATAGTTTTTCTTTAAGATTGTTTGGCAAATATAACCCATATTAAGGAAACGATGAAATTTCCGACTGATGAAGACCTTAACGGGGCTGCCGTAGCCTTGACTCGCCTCCAAGACACCTACCGCCTCGACACCTCCTCCTTGGCTCGAGGCGAACTAAACGGAGTGAAATACAGCTCGGAATTGAGCGCTGCTGATTGTTTCGAATTAGGCAGACAATCTTACAACAATGAGGATTATTATCACACTCAATTGTGGATGCGAGAAGCCGACGCTAGACTCAAGAGAGAGGCTAATGAAACGGTAGACAGGAGCGATATACTGGAATATCTGGCTTTTTCGACGTATAAACAAGGTTTGTTTGTGACATAATTGAGAGACTTGCTTTGACTTTCTTCCAGGTAACATCCCTCTAGCATTGGATCTTACAAACAAACTCTTGGAAATACTTCCAAGTCATCCGCGAGCACTCGGAAACAAAATATATTACGAAGATGAGTTAGAGAAATCTGTAAATATAAAGATAAAAGGCGATAATGGGGCAGAAGCTGAAGCGGAATTGAAACCAGACATTGATCCTTACGGCCGTGAATTTTACGAACAATTGTGCCGGGGGGAAATCTCCCTCCCGGTGGAGAAAGCCTCCAAATTGAAATGTTTTTACCTAAGTAGGAACAACAACTTCCTCAAAATTGCTCCCTTCAAAGTTGAAGAAGCTCACCACAAACCCGACATTTTTATCTTTCACGGTGTCTTAGCCGATAGTGAGATTGCAACGATAAAACGAATGGCTCAACCTAGGGTATGTATTTTATGACTTGATTTATATTGGCACTACTGTCCAAATATAGTTCAAGAGAGCCACTGTTCAAAACACTGACACTGGCGAGCTAGAAATCGCTCAATACAGAATTAGCAAATCAGCATGGCTCAAGGAGGAAGAACACAAACACATCGCTGATGTCTCTCAAAGAGTCAGCGATATGACAGGACTGACAATGTCAACAGCTGAAGAACTCCAAGTTGTCAATTACGGAATTGGCGGCCATTATGAACCCCATTTTGATTTCGCCCGAGTAAGTTGTTTAACTCACTTTAACTTTTCGTTTTACTAATTTTTTTAAAGAGGGACGAGAGAAACGCCTTCAAGAGTCTCGGAACTGGCAACAGAATCGCAACAGTGCTATTCTATGTGAGTATAATCTATTTCAAAATTGTCAGTACAAAGTTTTTTGTTTAGATGAGTGATGTAGAACAAGGTGGCGCGACGGTTTTTCCTAGCATCAATGTTTCGTTATGGCCCCAAAAAGGCTCAGCTGCCTTCTGGTACAATCTTTACCCGAGTGGTGATGGTGATAAAATGACAAGACATGCGGCATGTCCGGTTTTAACCGGCTCAAAATGGGGTAATTTTGGCTTTATTAATTTTCTTACTTTATTATGTTGGTATTTGCAGTTTCAAATAAGTGGATCCACGAACGCGGGCAAGAATTTCTCAGGCCTTGTACTTTGGAAAGACCCAGTGAGGATTTAGTGGCGTGACTGAAGACTGTTCCTAAATAATTTTAATGTTTTTGCTTTAAACAAAGATTAGCTTTAATTTATTTTGACGTGTAATCATATTAGAGAAATAAAGCCGATTTCATATAAAGTGTACTGTTATTATTTGGAGGACTATAAAGTAAGGATACAGTGCGGAACTTTGAAACAAACTTCAATTGCAGGATCAATCAATTTAGGTAAACGGAAATTTATTGTCTACTTTCTTAATTAATATGAACTCTGGTGCTGCAACTTTTCTTTAGTAATCAAATATTTTTTCATCGACCTTGCCTACAAATTTGATTTTTTTCTTTGTGAAACACAATGTAAGCTTAATTAATTAACAAAAGTAAATCCTAATGAAAATTGTAAAACAACACACAAAGGAAATAAAATAAAAAAATAAATATAAAATAGTAAAAATAAAATCATTAATGCAGAAGAAAACTGTAGTCTCTTTTTCAGACCACGTTCTCTCAATGACGGAATAAATGTAAAAAGGCTTTGAAACTAACGAATTGAAGATTGGGGACCAAAAATTAAATTTGTATGGTTAGTAACTTAAAGAATATTTAAGAAGTAACAATTACTTAATTGAGATTATTTTTTACTTTCTCGTTTTCGCGAAAAATTCACTTATTTCAAAATTATCTTTTCGTCATTGTTTTTTTTTCTTAATCCTTAAATTAAAGAAAACAAAAGTTTCTCAAGCACAAGAAATTTTCAGATTAAAAAATAAATCAATTCAATAGGAATGTTTTTACAGCAACTTGAAGTCAAAACTAATTTTTTTTTTAGATAAAAATAGAAAATTTGAAATAGAACATTAATAAGAAATAATGGAGTGCTGAAACATTGGAGAAAGCTACTAAAATTAAATTCAACTGTGAATTTTCTTATAAATCAAAATTTACCGATTTCTACCACATTCAAAAACATTGATAAAAAAAATCAGTCACATTTTGTACCGATACATTATTTTTTTAAATACTTTCCCAATAAACTTACCAATTTTAGGAAACAAGATAAAAATTGTGCTTTGTTTTTTGATGAGATGGCAATTTCACCATCTAAACAACATTTTTCGTAATCGCATACTGTTATTTCAATTTAACGGAAGTGAAATGACAGATAAAAAATTATTTTTAACAGCCTCCGTTCGTTAAGGATTATAACGACCGTCAGTCATTAAGAACTGCCTTCATTTTATGAAATCACGGAAATTATGGAATTTAAAGGTTTGCTCCTCTCTAGATCAGGAATGGGATTACAAAAAGACACACGACCGATACCAAATAACAGACTCGGTTGATTATTCAACCTCATCTGTTATTTAGTACATATCAGTCTTATGACGTTAATAACTATAACAATACTAAATAATAGTAAATTAATAAAATTGGTGTTTTGAGAAATAAAAAAACAAACTGAACTTGTAGCTATGGGAATAACCTGTTACCAATTTTTGATGTTCCGTCACTGTAATTGTCACCATTAGACGTTTATCTAATTAGAAGAAAGTTTACGAGTGTTTTAAGTGGTAAAAACAAAATGAAAAATTCTCTATGCTTACAAGCCTGTTTATTGATTTGTTTGGTTTGCACAAACAGAAGTAAAGTCTTTACAACAATCGTAGATTTAGAAGACCTTTTAGAAACTGAAGCCCTACTTATTGACACTCTAGACGATTATATCAAAGCCCACGAAAAAAAACTAGATTTTCTGAAGAGGTTGATGACGATTACATAGACTAGGGTCATGAATTTCAGTGTTTTTTTTAGATATTCCAAAATTTACAAGAATCATTACAATGAAGTTTCGAAAAACGATCAATTATATCTTGAAAATCCTGTAAATGCTTACATTTTTTTCAAAAGACTGATGATTGATTGGGAAAAAGTTGAAAATCTGGTTGCCAATAATCATGAGTTAGGTACCTAATTCTTTGGGAGGGATATGAGTAAGAGGATTAAGACGCCTATTTGTTTTTTTTAAGAATGGTGGCCACGTATAAAAAATATTAGAGAAATAAAGAAATTTCCTACTAATAAAGACCTTAACGGTGCTATAGTTGCATTGACTCATCTCCAAGACACCTACCGCCTGGACACCTCCTCCTTGGCTCGAGGCAAACTAAACGGAGTGAAATACAGCTCGGAATTGAGCGCTGCTGATTGTTTTGACTTGGGTATACACTTCTACAAGATTGCGGATTATTATCACACTCAATTATGGATGAGAGAAGCCGACGCCAGACTCGAGAGAGAGGCTAACGAAACGGTAAACAGGAGCGATATATTGGAATATTGGGCTTTTTCGACGTATAAACAAGGTTTGTTTGTGAAATAATTGAGAGTTTGCTTTGAATTCCTTCCAGGTGATGTTTCATTAGCATTGGATGTTACGAACAAACTCTTAGAAATACAGCCAACTCATCATCGAGCACTCGGAAACAAACTTCAGTACGAATACATGTTACAGAAAGAGGGAGAAAAAGACGACGTTGAAATAGAAACTGAAATGGAATCTGATTCTTATAATGGTGAAATTTATACACAATTATGCCGGGGGGAAATCTCCCTCTCGATGGAAAAAGCCTCTAAATTGAAATGTTTTTACTTAAGTGGAAACAACCATTTCCTCAAAATTGCTCCCTTCAAAGTTGAAGAAGCTCACCACAAACCTGACATTATCATATTTCACGATGTCTTGGCCAATAGTGAGATTGCAACAATAAAACGAATGGCACTACCTAAGGTATGTACCAAATACTTTGTGAAGGTACTACTGTTGAAACTTAGTTCAAGCCGGCTGTTTTCAAAAATTCCAACACCAGCGAGCTAGAAATCTTGCCATACAGAATTTGCAAAGTTGCATGGCTCCAAGATGAAGAACATAAACACATCTCTGATGTATCCCAAAGAGTCAGCGATATGACAGGACTAACAATGTCAACAGCTGAAAAACTCCAAGTTGTCAGTTACGGAATTGGCGGCCATTATGAACCACATTATGACTTTAGTAAATCATACTTCACCGATGATGATAGAACCGCAACAGTACTTTTCTATGTGAGTGTATTTCATTTCAAAATATTCAAAGTTACCTACTATGGGGAGCAAAATAAACCGGACATCAGAATTTTGGCATTTTCACAATTTGTTGTAGTCCATTTATAACAAGTGAAATACCTAAAGTTTGTTTTTTAATGGAAATACCAAACAGTCTTAAGATTGGGACCACTAGTAAATTCATTCATGGTAATTTTAATAAAGGAAGTTGGCAGTTCCGGTTTTTTGAATTAATTTGAAAACAATGTCATTAAACGTCAACACGAAAAATCGTCTAAGAAAATTTAGAGACAAAACACCAAAAAAGGAACAAATTCAGTAGCGCTTACAGTTTTTAGAAATTTAGGAACGAATAGTTCGCAAGCAGGAGGTTAGAAAAAGAGCCTGTTAAAATGTAGACGCAATTTGTAATGCAGGTTTGCTAAACATTCTCAATTTTTAGCAAGAAATTGACAAGAATACAAAATAAACATGAATGAGATAGAACCTCGGAATGAACGCAATTAAATTAGTCTCTTGTGCATTGTTTTTGAGAAACGAGTTGAAAAAGTAACAATTTTGAAACTAAAGCTGAAGAAGAATTTATAAAATACATCAACTTTGAGCTCATTTCAATAAATTACACAAAATTTATTGCCAATCAACATAATACCTACTTGTATCTTTTGCAATAACTTTTTTTGTATACACATCCTTTTTCTTCAAAGTTTTTCTTGCAAGAACCTCATTTTTGTCCACAACATTGTAGGTACTTACTTACGGTGTGTTTCTATCAAAATTATTAGCATTGAATTCTGTCTTTTGACCTTAGATGAAGTGAAACATTGAAGGGCAAAAATTTTACGCAAACAACTAAACTATCAGTCCCAGAAACATATTGTCATGTAAGTGGCCAAATTAAGCTTCAATGTACGAAAGCCAAAAATGATGTCGGATTTTTTTTGCTCATAATAAAAAGTTTCTGCTTCAGATGAGTGACGTGAAGCAAGGTGGCGCCACTGTTTTTCCCAATGTCCAAGTCTCGGTATGGCCTAAAAAAGGCTCCGCTGCCCTCTGGTACAACCTCCATCCTAGTGGGGATGGTGATAACATGACGTTGCATGGGGCATGTCCAGTTTTATATGGCTCTAAATGGAGTAATTTTGATTTTTTGAGCTTTGTAACTTTGTTATGTTGGTACTTGCAGTTTCAACCAAGTGGATCCACTACCGCGGACAAGAGTTTCTCAGACCTTGTACTTTAGAAAAATCTAGTGAGGAATTTTACTAAAATAGTCTCTTTCTTACAAGTATACGTTTATTACTTTAAGAGGTTTTACAAAATAAAACACACTGTGACTAGCTCAAAACAAAAAATCCCTATCGGTTAAAATCAAGGGAATATATGTGATGGTTTTATTTAGATTTCATTATTTTTCTCTGCGGCTTTTTTACTAGCAAGTTTCATGTATAAATTCGGACCTCCTTCTGAAGCTCTTCGATAAGCAGTTGATGGTATTCCCGCCGTGAGACTAGAAGGACCGGAAGAGCCACCAGAAGCTAAGATTTTTTCTTGGCTTTTAAAATCAGCCCATTGTGTTGACTGCAACATTTTTCATTACGTTGGTTTGCTATTTTTGGGTTAGGAAAGGTGGCAATCTGATATCTGGGTCCATGCTTGCTACTTTTTCCAGGGTAGGGTATATCAAAGTAACAAACGAATTAAAATGGAAAACCTAACTAGTTCTAAAATAAATGGTTGCGTCATATGATAATTTTTATTTCCATTTAACATTTATAAATAGATTATATTTGATTGATAACACTTATTTAAAATATGTTGTTTAAAACATTTATCAAAATATATAGTGTAAAGGGAGTACGGATGATTGTGCATTTACCCTGATAATAAAGGATATGAGTACTTTCCATTTAATTGAATAGAACAATAGTATATAGGGTGGTGGAAAAATGATACACCATTTTTTAAATGTATTGTTTTTCTAACATCCTGTATATTCAGCAAAACTAATAAATAGAGCATGCACGGTTTTTGCAATAGCATATATCCCTCCATAAAAAACTAATATCATATCACAACAAATTTGAGGGATTTTTCAATAGAACCCAACACCCAATCCATTAATTTGGTCCAATTGATTTGAAATCGAAAAGCTAATTTCGATTGTCTAAAAATTGCCAATAAACGCAAAAATTTTCTAAAAATTTTGATTACCGATGTCATTGCAATGCCAACACCGACAAGGTCGATCTAGAGTCAAGAGTCAAGTTTGAGACATCAAACAGGTCTTAGGATTCAGGGTGAAGTCCCCACAACACCCAATGATACATCCGTCTAACTAAAGATCACATAAATACACAATAAACATCTACATTTAAATCTCATAATTTCGGAATTTACTGACAACCTCACTGGGGGCGTTGCTGCCCCAAGCCGATCCCGTGCCTTTGCCCCCCCAATGCAGATTAGCGCCCCCCTCCGAGGCCCGTCTTTGAGCGGCACTGATTCCTCCCGCCCCCAAACTGGAAGGGCCCGACGAGCCCCCGGTCTCCAACATGCGATCTTTCGTTTTAGGGGTGCTCCAATGCATTGACTGAAAAAAAATAATGAAAAAATTATTGGAAAAGGGTTCGCTCCAACGAGTTTTTCACTAGATAAACAAACATAAAAGTACCTGATGGACGTGTTCTTTCATACCGAGCCACTGTTTGTAGCTTATTGAAATGCCGCTGTTTCGCCATTTATCGTAGTTGGCACGTTTTTCAGGATCACACAGAATCTCTTTAGCTTCCTGAAACAGAGACGCTGATTTGAGTATAATTAGGCTAAATGAGGAAAACATTCGTGCTGAAATGGGATGAATACGAGAAATTAAAACCTCGTCAAGATGAAATGACGATTTGAACTATACGAAGAAAACTGAAACACGGCTTATTTCAGAGTTTTTTAGATGCAAAAAATTATATAAAATTTAAACATCGATTTGGTTGGTAATCTGGTTTTTCTCTAAAACCATAAATATCACAGAAAAATTGACAAATACAAAAATTAATAATTTTTCAAAATATCTTTCTGTTTCTTTTTTCAAAATTGTAAGAAAATCCCGTCAAAAACCCCATCCTCCGATTATTGATTTCCTCAACACAACGAAAAATTGAACAATACGTGACTGATAGAGATAAGTTCGAACAACACAAAAGCTTTGTTTTAACTCCCTCAAACATTGATTTTCAATGAAAATAGCTAATACCCAATTACGTTTGAATGGAATGACTTAATTAAAAAAGCTTCAGTTGTCGTGTACCTTAATTGAAAAGACTATTAACCCAAAACTTATACATCTCAATTAAATTTTTCGTAAAAAAACATGAATGAAGATAAAATCAACTTCCTAATAAGTTTACAATTTTCCGTAAAGTTTTTCTAATCTTATTAAAGCAGAATTTATCCACTTTTCTTTTTATCGAGTTTTCGTTATAGAAGAATTAATTAATCGGTTAATTACTCATTATTTAGATTAGTTAATCTAATCTATACAACAATGGGAAGTTGACCTTTACAAGGCCGTTTATCACTGAAACAGTTTACCTATTGTATATAATTACTGTTATTATTGGGTGTGTGTTCACATGATCACCTAGTAATTAGACATAGGTAAACCTCTTTGCCAAAATATCATTAATCTATCATTACCTATTTAATAAGGACTATAAATTAAACTTTTGATGAATAGAGAACTCTGGCAGCTCATTTGGCAAGCAAAAACTAATTTAATTTAATAACAATAATTCGTAATGAATTAGTTAAAAAGATTATTATTCATGATAACAAAAATTTAAAATACATACCAGGTGGATGAAAAGTGTGAAGCTAAACGTTTTTTGCTTAAACTATTTATTTTTTGGAAAAACTAATTGATAAAGTACTATAAAAATGTGACTTTTTATATAGAATAAAATTATTCAATTTTTTTTTTTGATTTTGAGTTCTGCAATTTTTAAAATTTTTCTAAATGACAACCCACTATAAAATCATTTTTCTCATAAAGGTTATTACAACTATCTACTTTAATTAAGAGACGCCAAAAAAGATAAAATGAATGAAAAAAAATTCTTCTGAGCATTGTTTACATTCGATTTCGTTTAAACAAAAACTTTGATACAAAGCTTTCAAGTCATATTTTTAATAATAATTAACGTTTAAAAATAAAGTTAATACTAATTTACAATTCATAGAATTTTTGTTGTAATCGATTTTTTAGTCTTCCCCATAAATGTGCATCCGACTGTGAAACTGTTCTAAACGAAGCTTATAGAAACGTAGAGAAAATTCAATCACGACTTTCCACTCCACTTTGCTATTCGCTAAATTTCCCTGTTTCCTTAATAAATCTCTAGGAAACATAATTTTCGTAGGCGTATCAAAACCTCTCATCACATTACGTCATATTCATTTTACAACTTCAAAAATTTGTAGTCAAAACTTTACAGCAAGCGCTTAGAAAATTATTTCAACTTTTGGAAACTTCGAGGAAAATTCAATCACGGTTTTCTAAGTTAATTACTCGACAATTACACGCACGACAACGTATCCTAACATGCGTTGTGACGAACTCAGACATTGTCAATTCAGTGAGAGTTCGCAGTGTTTTATTTTTAAACAATTAATTATAGTAAATGTAAAGCGGTTTAGCATTTTGAATAAAAGGAGTATAAACAGAAGGAAAGCGAGATCAGCTTTAAAATTGGCTTATTATCAGGATGAAGCAATCCCGACTGATGTCTGGAGGCGGCAGAACCGCCCTCTAGCAAGAAGGAAATTCTACACTAAATAAGGATTAGGGTGGATTCAGATTTTTATCGTATCATGAGACGATAAATTTAGACGAATATAATGAAAAAAATTTATTTTTTCCATCTTCAAACCAGCGTTTATAGCACAACAAAAATATGATAATAAATTTTCTAGTTTTCTATCTAAAAATGGCCTGAAATAACCACAATTTTTAGAAATTTCACTATACCTACATTAAAAAAAAACGTAGTAAGTAATCGTAACACCCAATGTAAAAATTCAATATTGAAAACAATTAAATTCCCATTGATAAAAAATTGTTCACATCTTATTTTTATGCAGAGGGTCCCAAAAACAAACTGTTATAGATATAAATGATAAAAAATATCGTTCTAAAATAGTATATTACATAACGAGCACGGAAAGTGATAATTAACGCCAAGCGGGAAAGTTGCGCACGAGGCGTTAGCCGAGTGCAGGCAATACCGCGAGTGCGTTAGACACTTTTCTGCAAGTTTTGTACACTGTTTTTCCTACGACCATAAATAATTTGTGTCTTACGAACATATTTTTTTTTCATAACAATTTATTTTTTATAATGGATACAAAAATACGTTGAATAACGATTTATTTTTTATAATGGATACAAAAAAAAATACGTTAAATGAAAAAATACATTTGAGTGTGAATAGTGCGTTAGATTTCTAACACACAGTGCGAAAACAAATCGCACATGTTTTTGACCATATTGCCAATTTTCGCGCATATGTAATTGTGCATTATGATCTAGTTTCGTATATGGTCGTAGGAAAAAAAAAGTTTAAATATATTTTTGTCTATTTTCGTTTCTTATACAGGGTGATTCTTAAATTGACAGACAAAATTTTATTACAGCTTTCCAAGGATAAATGGAGACAATTTGTACCCTTTTTATGTTTATATCTTCTAGGGACAAAGCCCTCTTGATCCGTGCCACTTACAACGTTTATGAATTGCTGCAATGATCAATACATTTTCATCAAATTAATACTGTGGTTTCCACTACCTGTGCTAATACTATTTACGAACACTTCAGTGGCGTACGCTTTACCTCAAAAGTAACTTTAATGAATTTTATTTGGAAAACGGTAAAACAAAGAATTTTTTAATATTTTTTTCAGCATGTATTCATTTAATACTACCAAGGATAAAATTTTGTCGGTCTATTTAAGAATCATCCTGTAGTGTTACAGCTTAGCAAAGAATAATAATGAATTTTGTCCAAGTCGTGTCAAATTAAAAACGATAACATTTATGAAGCAATTTCTTAACTTCAAGTCTCATTCAATTGAAGCAATGGAAGGCATTTTGAACAATTTTTGTAGATTTTGTGTCTTTACTTAATTCTTAATTTATTCCAATTAAAGTTTTTTTATCTCACGACTCGTTTTTGTTTGTTTATGTACTGACAATATTAATTAAATGATTTGGAATTAAGAAATTAGTTTATAAATGTGATCGCTTTTACTTTATCAATACCAACTTGTACAAAATTCATTGTTACTCTTTGTTAAGCTACAATTTTTTAACCAATAAAGAAAATTTAATTATTTTTTTTTGTTAAAAATTACATTTTCTATCACTGGTTGACGTATGGCGGTCTGCTTTTGTATATTGAGTGTTTTATAAAATAATTTAATTTAATAATAATTTTTCAACATTAATACCTTACACTGTTTCTATGGTTCATTTAAGCTTACCTATTATGTTGCTGTTAATATACGCTTTTCTATGATACGTCGTCAATAACAATTGAATTTTGTCAATTTTGACATTATTTTGATACAATTCTTTATAATAATTTTTGAATTTAGTAAAATTCTGGTCCAATATTAATGTTGGAAAAAAGTTTGCAGACAACACAAGTTTTATAGTTTAAAAGTCTTCGCTCCCTAAATTGAAACTACGACCTCGATTTTTAAACTGCTTATAAAACTCTAGTTGTCTTAATAACTAGGTTTATTTTGTTTGATTTTTTTATATTTCATTTAAATTTTTTTATCTCTAACCGAAATCGATTTATTTTATGATTTCCATTAAAATTAGAATCTTTTCAAAAAATACAATTACAACAATATTTTAGATCTGTGTATGTTTAACAAAAAATCGAACAAATTTTAGATACTGTTATTCTGTCCACCACCACACACTGATATTTTTTTACTTAATAGCCACACAAAATATGGCCGTCTCAACCGAATCACTCTATGTATAAATAGCGCTCCTGCAAATAAAATCAATTATACAATACAAAGACATCGATTTATTGCGGCAGATGAAATTAATTAACGATTAAGTGAGTGCAAAATGAAATTGCATTTATAATTGCATCTAAAATGGTTTTTGTTTCGGATAAAAATGGAAACGAAGCGATAAATTGAGAGGGTGCTAATAAATTATCTGATTCATACTAGAAATGAAATTCAACTTTTCTCATTAGACATTTTCATTTGAAAGTGATTTGATATTTCAATCAACTATGAGTCGAGATGAAATTCCATTTCCACTTCAAACTGATCGACTTTTCCGAAACATTTCTTTAGAGATCAAACGGAATACTTACATCTGATAAGAAAAAATCTCAACTCTGTAAACAAGTCAACAAAGAATCTAATTTACCGGCAAAAATATGAACAAACAACTCTTGAATATGAAAGGAAAAGATAATCACCGTGCGTGGTCAAGGTTAAAGAGTTAACGGTGCGTTTCTGTTCTGATTTCAGCGGGGATTACCTCTACGTTAAAATCCCTCAAAATTCCCCAAAACTGACTCACCTTCAACAGTTGGAACTTCTGCTCGGCCTCTTTATCGCCATCATTCTTATCGGGGTGGCACTGCAAAGCCCGGACTTTATATTCAGTGGTAATTTGTTCCACCTACGAGAAAAATCAAAAATCGCTCTTCAAAAAAAGCCTTCGAACTCACCGTCGAATTTTCGTCACATCCCAAAATCGCGTAATAATCCTCCTCCTCCTTGCGCTTGTAGTTGAGGATCTCGTTCACATTCATCATTTCTCACTTCACTCCACGACCTCCCGACTACGACTGAGGGAAATTGGGGAAAATCGCAGGAAAAGCAGAGCAACTCTACGACACTTGCGCTCGGTGATATCGGAGACTTTTCGACTTGACTTCGACGAAACCAACAAGTGAAAGGCTTGGAGTGTTGCAACTGTGGTCATTGGAGCATTTTACAATAACAATTATGAGATAATGTGGTATCACTGGTTTGGTAAGTTTGTACTTGCGCAGAATGGGGGCCGGGATTCAGGAATCGATGATTCTGAGTAACTTTTGACTGATGAAAAGTATGTGAAGGATATTAGATAACACTGGGAGTTGGAGTCAGACATTGAGGAAAGGGAAAGCGTGTGAGGGAGGAACCTGAACCTTAAGGACAAGAGTTTATTCATTGCAAACAGGAGAAATTATTTTAATTGGTTTCAAATAGGTTTCGTCTTTCTCTTTTACCTGTACCTACTAATAGGTAGCATATGCCAATGTGCTTCTTAAATTGAGACAATGAGAAAATGTTTAACCAATTTAAAGTTGAATGCTTTTCTGTACCATCTTGTTTTACAAAATCTATACAGCGTGATTTTAATAGTTGTGCAAATTTATAATTTTGAAACATTAAGAGGTGATAGTAGAGGTTTAAACAAGTCAAAATAACTCAATTTGCCTTATCCGAATGTTTATAGACTAAGGTGTAAAAAAACGTGTCAAGTTAATATTTCGTAAAATTTAAGGTCTCATAATTTTTTATTTTAAGTTCAATTTTCAATTTTATTTTAGCAAACTGTAAATAAAATGACTAATTTTAACTTGCATATCTAGTTTTTTGTTAAATGCTTGCGTTTTAGGATTACTTAAAAGGTTAGAACCCTAATTTTAAATTAGGATAATAATTTCATAACCAAAATCTTCCAAAATACAAATTTATATGAAGAACCATACCTTTACTATATTTTGTCTTTTAGTTCATGTCTTTAGGTGCATTATTGGTTCAGAACAAAATGAACCAATGCATCTAATGACATAAACTAAAAAAAATGGGGAAAAGACATGGTTCTTCACAAAAATTAGTATTTTGCAAGAATTTCATTATGAAATTATTTCACAGAATTCTACAAAATTAGGGTTTTTATTTAATTCTATATAAAACTAAAACGCAAGGAGTTAAAATTAATGAAATTAGTCATTTTATTCTTCGACACTGTCAAAATTTACGGTTTTTCTCTCGTGTAAGGAAGTTTTGACAACTGTTTGGCATTTCTTAATACGAAACGTCAGACTATTTTTAACAGATTTAAAGCAATTTTAAGCCTTATTGAGTTTAATTCGAAGAATAAAATGTTGTATTCAACTCGTTTGAGTGTAAATCGGACGTTTTATTCCACCTCCTGGATGACAAACCACTCGTTGCACTCGGTGAGATAATCCGTCCGATTTACATTCAAACTCGTCGAATAAATAATTATTATCTAAAGTTTGCTAAAAAATCTATGAAAATTAAACTTCAAATAAAGACCTTAAAATTGACCAAATATTAACTTGTTGCGTTTTTTTGTGCCTGAGTGTAGTTTCTGAGATATGCAACCCCCATTTTAGGGTCGGAAAATTCGTCAAAAAAATGTAATACAAAATGTGCATTTTACCTACTTTTATCCAAAGCGCTATTAATCGGTGTCATTTGAGGTAATAGTAATGAAATCCAGACAAAAAAATTGATGCAAAATTTTTACTTCTTTATTATTTTCTTTAATATGAAAACACTTTTTCTGTTGTCGCTACATTTAATTCAATTTTTTTTAAACATTTTAAAAGATATTGAAAAACAAACTTCAAAAATCATATTTCTTGAGAATTTTTGTGGCTGAGCGCCAAATTTATATTTGGCAAGTTGAATTATTTTCGCATATTTTTTACTTTTTTCTTTTAAAATTTATTCATAACTACTTATTAAAATCAGCCTGTATGTACAGAGCAAATATACCGGGTCGCTAAAAAGTATGGATACAATTAAATATTTTCAGAACGGTTTAGCAGAGTACGTTGAAATTGAGGAAATAGTTTATCTATTTTCTGGTCAAAGTTTAGGCGGCAAAGAAACAACGATAGATAAAACATTTTTAAGGCTAAAAAAATTACATTTTTCAAAATATAATTACTTCGATAATTAAAAAAAAAAAGGTATGCCTGTTTTACATTACAGAACTCAGCAAAAAATGCTCTTCTTAAAAATACTAAATTTGACCCTTTTTGTCATTAAAAAAATAAGTTAGCCTTGTATTCTCAGAACAAATGAAGATAGAAGTTTGATAAACATCTGAGGCGATGGAATTTAAATACTTTTAAACATATACCAAATTTCAATAACTTATGATAAATAGTTTTTATAATAATTAACTGTATCCATACCTTTTAGCGACCCTGTATATATTTTTTTAATCACCTAACTAAAAAATACATTCTGATTTTAATAAATTATAGATTGGTTTTTGTTTGTAGAAAGCAACTAGAAATATTGATATTTGTGAAAATACCCTGTATTTGAAACCTACAACATAAACTGCCACTTTTAACATCCTGTTGCCATTTTGGTAAAATATTGCATAACTCAAAAACAAAACAAAATTTTATTCTCAAAACGGGATCACATTTTTAATACCATTCTAATAAATTTACCTGGTATAATTTTGTCATTCAAATAATTTTTAAAAAAATATTAAATAACAAAAAATGATCAGTTTTTCGAAAAAAAACTTGTCGACTTAATTTTATCAATATTTGAACAAACAAAAACTTTCATGAATCTACCTAGTTTATTCAGAAATTTTCAGTTTCTAAGTTTGCTAAAAGAATTGGCGAAAAGGTAATATACCTACAGGCTGCGCCAGAACTCGCGCCCCAGAGAAAAATTTCAAGTAAAATACGAGGAACATGGAAAAAATGTTTAAACAATTCTATCTGTCAAAAATTTTTGACATTTGAATTTTTTTATGTCTATTTAATGATACTAATGATAATGATCTTGTATATGTTTTTTTACAATTATTTAGTAAAAGTACAAAAATTTTGACAATAAAAGTCACAAATAACATTGAACAGAGCTACAATTTAGGATACAGTTTTCTTGTTTCCTCTTCAATACTCTGTAGCAAAAAAACTTGGAAAATTGTTTCTTCAATAGAAATAAATAGTCAAAATGCAAAATTTAAATTCTCATAACTTCTGAATAACTTCGACATTTTTATAGATATTTTTTGTAACATTTTTTCCATGTTCCTGGTATCCTACCTTATATGGCATTTTTCTCTGGGGCGCGAGTTCTAGCGCATTCTGTATAATAATAGGTATAATAAGAATGTCAAATTTTTAGCTACATTAGGTAAACAAAAGGACTATAAGGGGAGAAAAATTCATTTAATTTTTATATTATTTTAAACAAAAAATTTTATTCAAAATACGTCAATGTAACTTTTATCTCTATTTAGTTTTTTTAATTGTCGGTAAAGAAAACTATTAAAAATTATTTATGTAATTATTTTTGTATAATTTTGCAAAGATAATTTAAGAACACTTTTAATTTTGAAGAAATATAAAAATATTTGAAAATTAGAAAAAAAATTAAAAATTTGGTTTCTAAAACTTCAAGTTTTGTGTACAATTTTCAGTTTGTAGCTCCATATTGTTAATGTTACAGGTTCTTGCTTTATGAGAATGCTAAAGTCTCCTGAATAAATAAACGAATAGGCATACTTTTCAATTATTTTAGTGACACGTACATATCACATTAATAATAAATAAAACACAGCGTTAATTTGACGCTACCGCTACCATTTTATACAACAGTAAACACTTGTAGGATGGCAACCAAAAACACATATTTGTACTTAGTCTACTGTATTTTTCAAAAGATAAGGAATTCTATTGCCGTAACAAGCTGTAAAATAAGCATGAAGATATTCAGTTTCGAGAAAATTGAAAAAATTGTTTATCTACTGAAATGTTGCAATATCTTGTTAGGAGAAATTGAGTTGTTTGTCAGTTTGTCCCAAAAAGTTTTAAAAATAATTGTTAGATGGAAACACATACATGACAATAGAATATAAAAACTTATTTGTCGTTTGTGCTTATTTAAATTCTATGTACCTACGAGTTATACGACACTTTTACGTGGAAATACTGACTAGTGATAACTTTGTTAATTTTAAAGTTTATAATTCCTTGAACGAAATTTGTTGTCTTCATTATTTATACAAAGTGAATTTGATATTAGTTCAAAGAGCAAGCAAAAAATGCTACAAAGAATGTTCACTTTACTCGTTAGTAAATCTAACTTTAACAAACACTGAGTTTAGTTTCCGATACTAGAAACTTTTCGAATTAATTGAGAGAGTTTGTAATAATGAGGATATTTTTAGTAGGCAAACTTAGAAAGACTAGTCTGTTTACGAAAGTATTACTGGTTGTCTGCAGTGATAAAACAAGAAAAAAATTTCTTTTTTTTATTATTAATTAATAATAAAAGCATTGCCGATTATGTAATTAGCTTCAGGGATGATCTGTGAAAAGTTCAGCCCTCTGTGCCAGCTTGCGGTAACTTTTTTCTCAGAAAAACTCATTAGTTTAGTTTAAAAAATTCCAACCCGTATACTCGGCAAAAATCTAAATTGGACGACAATATTGACATTTTTTACAAAGAATGGATTTCCGGTTTGGTGACCCACATCCCTTCATTGTATTCACCCCAAACAATTACGATTCTCTACAAAAATGAACTAAATTACAGATCGATGACAATATCGCATTTTTAGTTTTTAAAAATTCTCGAGGTAGGAGATTTGTCGTTAATTAAACTGAAAGTTTTCCCCAAAAAGTGAGTTTTGATCGATTGTTCCCCAGAAATAGCCACTGTAATTTTTCATAGATTTCAATTAGGGTAAGAGCGTCGACCTCGAAATAAAATCCTCGTGATTTTATTTCGAGCTTGTCAAATCAAAAATGAATAATTAACTGTCATCAGTTGTACAAATTTTACTGTACGCTTCTCAAATATACATTTCCAATTAAGTAGGATCGGTTATGGAAGCGGAACCGGACTAATATGTTAAATTGATGTACCTTCGCTTATGACTTATTGAAAATATTAATTTTATTGATTTGCGCACAAGGCTCAAGTCGCCAATTGCAGTTGATATAAACAATCGTAATAGGAAGCTCTACAAATGAATTCAGTAATGAAAAATTGTTGCGTTCATACAAGGACGAACTTGACTGGATTCGTATTCATTTAATTGAGTGGAAGGAAATGCAAGTTTGATCCACCTGGACGTTTATAAAACAGAGAAAATAAGCAACTTTATTAACTGGATTAACCTCTATTAATAACTCGTGCAGACTAATGACTCAGTTCTATTGTAAATGTTGCGATTAGGAGATCGTTAAATTGCGGAATTGCTGAGAGAGGAAATTATTCATACAGAGTGAACACAACTAAGGGTGTATAATTTTTCAATTTTTAGTTGAGATTTTTGTCAACAAAATTAATAACTAATTAAAAATTGGTACTTAAAAGTAAAATAAATCATTGCTATCATCATTATTTTATTTTCAATTAATAAATTATTGAAAATTCCCTCAACCTCATATAAATCATGTGCAGTATCATTTCACATTTTTACTTAAAATATGCAAGACTAAAACTATTCTCTCCTTTATTCTAAAAAGTTGTTTTCCATGTAATTCCATCCTCACTATCCATTAAATACCGTGTTCTAAAGCAACTTTGTTATCCAATTTTGCAAGGAACTGTAAAATTCCAATGCAATTTACACAGACAACTAACTCCTTTCCTTTTATTCAACATTGAATATAAACATGTTATATTTTGCAAAAATATACTTTTCTGACTTTGACACCTTTCGAGAAAAAAATTGTGTCATGATATTTGTTTTTACAATAATTATAACGTTTCTGTGACGAGCAAAAGTGTACCTTAACGCAGGGAAAGAGATTAATATAAAATTTAATACACAAACGAAGAGAAAAAATAACAGAGCATTTCAATTGGTAACATGCGCTTTTACAGCTTTGTAGATTTTAAACTTACTTTTAATTTAATTTCGAATGAAAAAATTGCAAAATGTTATTACAGAACATTGCTTGTTTGATACGTAAATATTCAACATTTTAATATTTTTACAACTAATTTTTATGAAATTACTTCAAACCTTTTGATTCTTATGGGTTTCGAGATATAGAATATCGCTTTTTAATAGATTGTTTTACCTATTTGAAATATACAAAATAAATACATAAAATGTATAAAACACTTAAATAAAAAAAATAAGTACAACAAAAATTTAAAATCACATATGTATGTATGTAGACATATACACTGCTCAACAATTAAAGTGGATTTTGGAAAATACACAATTTTTTAATTCAATGTAGGGCAAACCAGGGTGATATGGTGAATCGAGTGAAATGGTGACTTACTCTATTTTTTTTTTTTTTTGGGCAGAGAGATTTCTCTGTAATTCTCTATGACAATTGTTTATGATTTCTTTCTTGTGTTCTACAGGGCTGAATTTTTTTGTTCACCATATCACCCTGGTTTACTCTATAATAAATAAAAAAAAACAGTTACATCAATTTTTACTCATTCACAATCAAAACTGACAAAATTTGAGGTATTGTATCCATAATCCTGTTAAAAAATCACGTTAAAAAATTCATAAAACAAAACACGAAATGAACTTCCAAAATCGTGTCTAATGTCAGTATGTAATGCAATTCTTTTAACATACATTTTAATTCAAATTTTCGAAAAATAGACAATATCACTTCAATTGTTCAGCAGTTTATATTTTATTAATTTGTCTTCGAGGTGACAGAAAAAAAACTTTTATTGAAAATGACAAACGGAAAACACGTGCATACTGCAGAATTTAATTTAATGCGCATAATTTTCGACTTCTCGACTTTTCGACATTCGACTTAAAGAGGTTTGAGATGTCGAAGAAAAATTAAATTCATTTCTATTAGTAAATGCTTGGATTCAGCCAATCACTTCGACTTATCGACATTTCGAGATATACCAGGTGAATAAAAAGTATGGAACCAAACGTTTTTTGCTTAAACTATTTATTTTTTGAAAAAAGTAATTGATGAGTGATAAAGTACTATAAAAATGTGATGATTTAACAAGAATAAAATTTTTCGAAATTTCCTTTTGTTTTTGAGTTCTACAAAAAAAATTATTTTTTTAAATGGCAACCCACTATAAAATCATTTTTCTCATAAAAGGTATATTCTAAGGATTACAACTATCTGCTTTATATTTAATTTTTTCATAAAAAAATTTTCACATAAATTGCAATTTTGACAAAAAAATCGCGTAACTCAAAAATAAAACAAAATTTCGTTCTGAAAATACGATCACATTTTTTATATTACTTTAATTTATATTAATAATTATTTTCTGGACGCAAATGATCAAAAATAAAACCGCTTGGTTCCGTACTTTATATTCACCCTGTAGATGAGGTTCGAGTTATCAAGTTTCTACTGTATATTTAATAGAAAATTTTAAAAATCATGTTAGAAAAGAAGATAAAGCGTTGATTCCTCTTTTTTATAGATAGTTTTGGTTTTCAAAATAAAATGGCAACATGTTTCACGCTCCATTCTTCAGCTGATCTTAGAAAGGGATTACTTCTTAAAAATTGAGGCAATAATAAAATTAATAAAAAAATTTGGTACAATAATTCAGTGAATAACTATTATCATTTTTATTAATTTTAAAGCATGTTAAAAATTGATTAAATTAGAAGTCTTTAGCATTAGTGACCAAGCCTGAGATTTTTCTGGAAATATAAAATACTTCCTTATTTTTATTTTTACAATGCATTTTAAACGAAAGTTTTAATTAAAAAAATTGGGGCAACTCGGCTGCCATATTAATTGATATTTAACATTAAGTACTTATTTAACGTTTACTTGTAATGATGATTTACCCGACTCGCTCTTTTTATCAAAAACATTAAGTACTTTGAACAGATACCAAAATCTGAAAAACATTTATCAAACACCCTAAACCTCCTCCTTCCACTTACAATTTCAATCTCTGCTTCGTGTTATTTTACAGTGTTTTCATTGCTAATAGTAGCTATATTAACCGTAATAAATCCGAGCCGAACATCAAAACAAAATAAATACAGCAATAACCTCCGATCTAAAAATACCTCCTCCACCTCCAACCCCCCCTGGATCAAACCCCCTGATTTAATCCTCTAAATCTATAAATCACGCGAAATAAAGCCGTCAGCAAGGGCTCGTGCCCCCTCCTGAAACCCCTTTTTTCAGCTGCTGTCATAACTTGGTCCCCTACTCCTGAAAACTCGCGTTGCTTCAGCAGGCTTCAGTCTCGTGTCGACTTAAGTCGGAGTAGTGCGCGAGCGTCATGTGCTAAGCTTTTCAGTGGTAGGTGTCAATTATTTTGATAAATCGCGTCGATTTGTAGCAAATAAACAAATCGCATGACTAAGTCACCAGTCTGAAAATAGCAACCCGCACGTGGTACAAAAATTGGGTCCGATTTCAGGAATTTGATTCATGAAATCGCTTCAATGGAGTGTCTTTTCGGGCTAAAATTAGTTTTGGCACTGGTCATTCTGGGTCGTTTTCGGCTTGTTGACAGTCATTAGAGGCAGTTAGACACGATATCTAATTAGATAATAGAGGCATTTATTTGAATATCTCTATTATCAAGTAAAAGAGTGAATTACAGTTGAGGCATTGTTGGGGATATAATCGGTTCAAGATTGTCAATGGTTGTACTCTTGTTTCAGATTTACAAGCTTTAAATAAATGCGTTCCTAAAGTAGATGCAAGCACAAATGAAATTTCCGCTCACGTCCTCGATGGTCCAACTTGAGGTACCTGAATATTAGACGATTGGATTTAGCTGGAACAATGGATCTTGGTGCGTGTGAATTATCTATTTAAATTTTATTCCGGGATTTATTGGGACATTTGATGGGTACTAAGAAGCTTTGTTGGGAGTGATGTGGCAAGTTTGGTTCAATCTGACACAAAACACAAATTATGACAAAGACATAATTAAATTAGATATACCACAAAACAACGACTTATTTTCTGTTAATTTCTCTTATTGCTGGTCTACCTTATCTAAAAATTGTACTAGTGTGGTTTTGTTTTTATGTCTTATCGTTACTAAGAAATATTTAAGATTAATTACTTAATTAGTTACATACTCGTATGTAGATTAGAAAGTATTTCAGATAATTCTACAATTATTTCTCACTCTTTTCTTTAAATTATCTTACGAAATGTCGAAATATTTATTTACGAACAAACTGGAAGGCACAAAAGCTGATACTGAAGTTTTTTTTAATCAATTAAATGTTAAAACGAATTGCTTTTGGTAAATTAACTCTTGTACTAACGGATCTTTAATTAGACAGTAATTCACAATGAATGTCTTCGTAAACTGTTGCATCCGATTTTCATCGATAATAATATAAATCACTGCCGTAAAAAACATTTTAAAAAGTCATTGGATGAACTTGGTACAATCGTAAAATTAGGAAAAAAGTTAACATTTTCTTAAATTTTAAATTTGTAAAATATGCATAACATTAAAATATGGTTTCAATTAAAAAGAGATGTCTGCATTTTTAAAGAAATTAAAAATAAAATTAATTTTATCAATTCAACTGAATGCAGCTCATGCCGAAAAAAAGTTCAATTATTTTTATTTCTTTGAACTAAGTAGATACCTACTTAATTGTGTTTCACTGAAATTGTAATTAATTATTTTTTATTTATTATATATTTCGATACAATTCAGAAAATACTATGCATCGAAGTTCCAAAAAAGCTAATGTCTCATGAAAATCAGATTTTTTAGTTACTTCCTATGTCAGAAATGTTAAGTTTTTTGCTGTAAAACCATACTTAACTTTTAGCATTTTGGAAAAAAAATCATTTATATTTTTATTTAATATCTCTCATTTTCTAATAATTATGGTTTTTACTTTGTTTTTCATATATTTAGAGCTGATACATTGTCCCAAAATGATAATAAAGGCGAATAATACATAAATGAAAATGAACAACTTTTTTCAGTTTAAACAAATTAAAATATATTTATTTTTGTATCTAAAATACAGTTATTGCGGTCAAATCGTTGCAGTCCGCAGAAACGTTTTAAGTAAGTGTTACAAACAACATTTTTTGTTAAAGCTCCCAAAAAACGAATTCACACCTCTTATTAATTAAAAAAAGGCGGCATCATAGTAACCAAATTGTTTTTTTCGTTCGGAAAAACTGTCTTTTGGGTACTGAACACTTAAAATAACCATTTTACGTACTATTTTATTGAGTCTGAAAAGACTCATTTTAGGGACTCAAATAAGTCCCTGCTAAAACAACTATTTTTGGGGGGCGTATACAAAAAATTGCTTTTTGTAAATAATCAGAAGACTTTTTTCAACTTCCAAATCGATGTTTTGTTTGCGATTATAAAACTCGTCTCACTCTGTATACTTATTATAAAGCTTAATTATGTGAAAATAATAATACCTAAAGTATATTTTCGATTTGTTGTTTGAAAGTAGAAATATGAATTACACACTCTTCATATTGACTGAGTTAAAAAAAAAAGTAAAAATACTTTATGATAATGCAGCATTATTGGGTATTTTAAGTAATAATTTAAGATAATTAATTTTTAAAATATACTTCAAAAGTTAAGGTAAAATTGATTTTTAGGTACTTTGTTGTTACAAAAACATTAAATTTTGAAATTTTGAAATATGTATATCTATTTTTATTATTTCTTTCTTGTTTTGTTGTTGTTTTCGTTACATTTCCAATAGCAAATATTTATAGCACGTCTTGTGTCAGATTTGCTTGAAAACACATTCTTCCCGATTTCTACAAAATCCGGTGTTTCATCGTTCCCCCACACAAATCCCAAATTAATAAATCCCCACATTTCTGACATTCCATGTCACGTGTAAATACATGTGCATGTGATACAAACATTTTGCGGTTTCGTACAACTAGTGACGCCACCGCAATTAAAAGAAAACATTATACATTATTCATAAATTATTTTTAATTTTTTTATTTATTTTTTATATAATAGAGTATGTTATTTAATAATAGGGATAAATAAATTTTCGTCCCGAAGCTCGTTTCATTGATAAAAATGGAAAGTGAGTGACGAATTTATCTGATGAAAGTCCTGGAAAAGCGCCAATAGGAGAGATAAAATTTCACATAATTGGGCCAGTGAAAATTTTGTCAAAGCTTATAAATATTTATTTCCGAGTGCATTGCCCATCTTCCCATCGAGCATCCATCCCATCGTGCCGCGTATACAAACGATCACCATCGCAGCATAAATAATTACCAAGAAACTCATCTCAAAAGTAAACACAATCGCTTAAAATGCGCCACCTCTCACATCCTGTCGGATCTTTGACTTCCTCCACCACTAGGAATTAGTATTCACGGCTGGTTTTACCTGCAGACAACCCTTCGTACTTCTCCGTGGCGGCAGAAGCGCCCAAAAGGGCCCAGAAGATGGACGACAAGAGCAAGCGTTCCATGCGCTCATTTCTAAGATCCGTGAGTTCCAACTCAGCCGACTCCAACCAGGAGCTCCTCATCATGGGCGAACCCAGACTCTCTGACATCGACCCAGACATAGCCTTCAAGCACCAGGCCTCCAGGTCGAACTCGCTGAGGACGAGGGAGCACCACGACGTCTTATACAACCTTTTACCCACTTCGGAGGAAGCCGAACTCTCAGGCGATGAGGTCAGTCATTCGCATCTAAGTTTTGCTCTTAATCAAAGATTTTAGGTGTTTTTAAGCGAGGAAACGGCGACTTATTACAACTGCTCTCCCAGTAAACGTCGCCACTCCATTGGCACATTTATCTCCCGTGAAAGGAGTACGAGTGTGGCTTCTTCGTCACGAAGCTTCAAAGATGACCTCCCCCAAGCCGTAGTTCACGCAACTTCCACCGGGGACTCCCCCATTTTCGACGATCATGCACTAAGACACGCGTCTTATCCCAGGAAGCGGTGTCCTCGTTGTACGAGAGGTAAGTCGCAATTTATCAATGTAGTGTGATTTGATAATGGAGACAATGATGTCGTTGTATAATTTAAGACGACGAACTCTTGTTATAATGCTTGTTTGTGATTGCAATGGTTGGAAAAACAATGCGTTTGTTGTGGGGTGGGAGTGTAAACAGAGTCGTGTGGGGTTTGGAGTTTATAACAGACGATTGAGTTGAAGTTTATGTTTCGGAGGGATTAAAAATAATGAGATAACGATGAATGGGATGCTTAGATGTGAGAAGATGTAAAAAAGATAATGACTCATTTCAAATTTAGGACGAATACTTTTCGGAGTAACTAAACCATAGTTTGATTAATTAAGGACCAAAATAACCTTTATAACAAAATTGACCTTTAAATATCCAAGTTCAAGATCCCATTTGTTTATTCAACTTTACAAAGACCTGCAAAATCGTTTGATCACTCATACTTTGAAGTTTGCAAAACTGCATTCGTTCATAAGCATTATTTATTATTTCTACAGAAATGTGACATTATTATGAGCGAAGTTTTAGCTTGAAGTTGTGCAATTGTAAGGAGCTTTCCCATAATAGCAGGTCAAATATCTTTTCGTAACTTTTTAACTTTAATTTTTATTTCCGCGGAAATTTCAGACAATTTCAATTTGCGAATTGCAGTTTAAAAGACTCATAGTAGTGAAACGTGTAAACTGTTTAAATATTTCGGAGACGGTTATCTTATTAGTTTTCTATACAAGGTGCACCAGAACTCGTGCCCCAGAGAAAAATTTCAAGCAAGATTAGATACCAGGAACATGACAAAAATGTTTAAAAATTTCTATCTGTGAAAAAATTTTGACATTTATTTTTTGAGATTTGACATTTTTTATGTATATTTAATGAAACTGATGATCTTAAATATGTTTTTTTATAATTATTTAGTAAAGGTATTAAAATTTTGCCAATAAAAGCTACAAATAACATTAAATAGAGTTGCAATGTAGGATACAGCTTCCTTCTTTCCTCTTCAAATAGCCTGTAGCAAAAAACTTGGAAAATTATTTTTCCAACAAAAATAAATAGTCGAAGTGTAGAATTTAAACTCTCATAACATCGAAATTTTTATACATAGAATTTATACATTTTTTCCATGTTCCTGGTATCTTAATTTACATGGCATTTTTCTCTGGGGCGCGAGTTCTGGCGCACTCTGTATGTACAAGTACAACATCAATATTGTTTTTTTAACCGGAATAAAAATTTTAAAAATTACTTACAGTGCCATTGGAAAACTCAAATCTTACACCAATCAACAATAAAAATGATATTAAGTGATTATCTTGTTTTGTACCAGATGTAGATCAATAAACACAAAAAAATTAAACCAGATAGAAAGAAACTTTATTCTTGAAAATATTAGTATGTATGTAGTTGCAGATCTTTATAACAAGAAATACTATATTAAATTACACTGTTTAAAAACGTGTTACTAAAATATCACCAATGTTTTGCATTCGATAGTGAATTTTTTTTAAAATAGATTGTTTTATGAACAAAAATTAGTTAAAATTGTTTACATTACATGATTTAACTGCCATTTAAAGCTAAAAATATGATTTTTTTTATTGGAATATTAAAATGCTTTAAGCCATAATCTCCATATATTATTTTCACATTAATTTAAATGTATTATTCAGTTTTGTGAATGAGCATTTAAAAATCACATTTATATGTTCCAATATTTGTGTTTACTGGCTGTCCCAGTTTGTACAACCTCTTTCTTTGCAGTTGTAAAAAAAATTCTAGCTGTCTTAGTTTTTGTGTAATACATTTTTTAAAAGAGTATGTTTTTGTTACTTCAAAAACTAAGCAAAATCGACCAATAGAAGTTTAGCTTAAAATAATTGTATAAAAAGCTACATCCAGAAATGCCAAAAAACATGTGGTGTTTCATTTAAAAAAATATAAGTAAAACGTGACTTCTTTTCGAGACACGCTGTATATCTAGTTGAAAATAATTTCAGGCGATGCACTAGTTTAGTATTTATTAATTTTCTATATAATTTTTTTCAAATTTTAACAATTAAAGGTCAATAATGGACTTTACCAACTCACAGAGGCACCCTGTAAACAGATTGTTCCGGAATTAAATAAATAGGTCACTGTTTAAGCTTGCAAAACCAGTTTCTACTTTTTATTCTGAGAAGTTCTATTAAACAGTTCTATTAAAAAAATTCTACACTGATTCGTTTCTTTACTTCCCGATCCATATTTCTCTTTTGTTTATTTACTGTGAAAACACAGCCATCCTAGTACGAGAAGGCAGTTCCTGCGGTTCATTTACCTCATCTTCCAATTGGCATTCATCGAAAAATCTGTCTTCACGGAAATGCAAGACTCCCTTGTTATTGTCCGCAGGAAACCGATTAATTATCCGTAAAAAGTAACGTACTTATCACTTCCGGCCAATATACTCAATTGCCTAGTCAATTACATAACCGCATATGCGCCCCGACTCCTTAAGACGGCAAGAAGAACCAGAGGATATCCGTATTCATCAATCCTCCACTCACGTCCATCGGCCATTTTCGCCCCCACCTAATTAAACGTGGATTGATTGTCAGATTCGATTTTTGCAGTGTTGAAAAGGTGGTCACAGGTGCTGTGTTTTGAGTGTGATGTGTTGTTGAAGTAAGTTTTGAGAGGGTTTTAACGTTTTTCGGTAATTAGGGATGAAGGGCCGCCATCTTGGATCGTGACATCCTGCGCACGTGTATCTTACTTCCACGAAAGGATGCGACGGAAGTCCGACTCCGGTATCTGCATATAAAAAATCAAATTTTAGAGATAATTGATTTTTTGCCACCAACTGATTTCAATCGGACTCAAATCCGGCTATTTTCAAATACATGCATATTCTCGGTTATTTATGTTGGTATCTTCTGAAATAACTTTGAAATTCCCTCATAATTCGAGCTTTAATCCCCCTACGCGCAAATCTCGCACAAAGCTCTCAGCTTTCAAGTGGAGTTTCCTTTTGTAAAAACACAGCGCAATTTCTATGACCGACAGATTTGTTGATAAAACTATTTCCAGTTGAGGGTCAAAAATAAGTTTCAAGGATGAATGAATTTGTGTGATTGTCTCCCTAAACGTGACTAAAATTATTTGAATGGTCCCTTATGAATTCGAATTGTGATTGTCATAAATGTCGAATCTCAGACAAGGATAATGGGGTATGTGAAGGTGAAGAGATTTATGAGTTAAGGGGAAAAAACTGAAAACGTTACCTTGATTGTCAATAGAGGATTTTGGAAAAGAGGTGTCTGGAGGGAATTGACAATGATTTGACCACAGCTTTAATTATTTTTTAATAAAAATTTCTGATGAATAACTCCCAATTACCATTTTTTTTTCAAAATTTACCAAATTAGTTACATAAATATAACTACACAAGGTGATCTAATTAAAATGATGAGATGAGCGACAACCCAATGAAGCTTTAACCGACTATAATGAAGTCAGTTATAGAACGCCCAAAAGCATAAAGAATAAAACAATGTTTTTAATTTATTTTTTTAATTATTCAGGGTTAACACATTTAAGGCGTTAATTGAGTTAATTCTGGTTTAAAAAAAATTCGATTTGGATTTTTTGAATAATTTTTTCAAATGTTTTTTTGTGTTTGTGTTTTAAAGAAAAACTTTTTTTTCCTATTTTGACCAAAGGAATCACCCCCTGAAATCTTTTTTTTTTTTGACTAAAAGAAACAGTACATATTTATAATTTTTTTGTAATTACTTATGAAATATAATTCTAATTGTTTCTAAAAATTATATATAAATAGAGTGTCCGGCATCCATTTTGGTAACTACATATCTTAAAAATTAATTAACGACAGAAAATTGAGAAAAAAAAATACTTTTGTATTTCTGTAAACACAATGAACTTTTGATTTACTCATTTTTATTTTATTGTTTTATGGTTTTCAAGAATTAATACTTTTTTTTTAATTTTAATTACTTTTATTACTTTTAAGAGAGGATTGAAAAAATAAATTTTGTTTTGTACTCACTGTTAAAGAATGCTTTTATCAACTAATTTCAGTAGATTTATCGTCTAGTGAAATAAAGTAATTTTTATCTACTGTTTATATTCAAGAAATTCTGGTAGGTGAGTACAAAATAAGACGAAATATTATACACGACGATAAAGATTGTTTATCTACTCGTGAAAAAAGTCCACTAGTGACTTCATCACTACTAAACTTAACCTTTTCACTCGTAGATAAACAATTTTTTTATCGTTTTGTATAATAAAAAACTATTATTCAATCCTCTAAGTTAAAATTGAATTTTATCTACTCTTTTCTTCATGTTAAAATGAAATTTTATCGTCTAAATGATAAAAAAATACATCCATTGTTGTATATCTGCGGTTCTTAGTTGCTAACGATCTTTGACATTAGATGTCATTGTTGAATTTTACTTTTATATTTATACATATCGACCAAATTGACTACAAAATTGTGAGAATTGAATAAAATTTTATATTGTACACGAAGATAAAATTTTCATTATCTTTTCTCTTTTTTCTTTGCTCTCAAAGATAAAATTCAATTTTATCGTCTTGTATAATAAATAACTATTAATAAACATGAAAACAAAAATTTTATTTTTTGAAAAATGAAAACCGAAAAATAAGAAAAAAAGGTTATAAAAACAGAAATTTTTTCATTTCTTTTACCTTTATAATTTTGTCAATAAGAATGTTATTGACATTTTCAGTAAATCAATTCAGCTTTTGAACGTCTAATAAGAAATCGGAAATAACATTCGAGTGTGTTCTCTTTGTTGAAACAAATGTCGTTTCAAGTTCACTATCAGAGAGCAAATACAAGTCAAGTACAAGTTGGCTTACTCGATTTTCTAAAGATGTACAACATACTTTAAACTTATTCTCATCTCTTTGAGCTTCAAACCCATAATCCCGGAGTCAAAACCAAAAAAAAATCCATAAAT